CAAACAAAACCAGGAGCCTGGAACTCCAGCACCCGTTGCCCCCAAGGGTGTGCATTATCAGGAAGCCGTAATCCAGAGCAGAACTCAGGCCGCAAAGCCAGACTCTCCAACCCAGTAGGCAGGCGTTCCAAGTGGCATCCTAACCTCTCCACCAAACACCAACCCCAGATTTCTTCTGTTTGCACTGAGCTTTACCATTCCTTCCTTTGTGCTGGTAGACGGTGACTACCATTGTAAACAGGAGCTGTGAAATCCAAGACAAAATTACAGATCGTCTCTCAAAGTGCACACCAACAACTGTGCTCATTCCTGAGCCCCCTCTGCCTGCAGACCTGGGCCAGAAGCCTCCACATGCAGCCCTGTGAAAAGGCAACATTCTCTCCATTTACAGGAGACAGAACTAACGCAGGGTCACTCAGTGGGTAAGTGATAGACTCTCAGATGCTGATGCATTCCTAAACTCCTGGGGTTCCTACACTCACTGGGGAGCACAGAGGCCATTACAGGCCTGAGGGATAAGGGACACTTACTCCACAGACTGGAGTGCATCTGCCCAAAATTCACACTCTTGGAAGCTCATCCTCCAATGTGATTGAACTTGGAGATAGGGCCTTTTGGAGATGATATTTTTTTTTTTAATTTTCATTTTATTTGAAAGGCAGAGTTAGAGAGAGAGAGAGAGAGAGAGAGCAATCTCCCATCTGCTGGTTTACTCCTCAAATGTCCACAACGGCCATGGCTGGCCAGGCAAAAAGTTTAAGAACTCAATCTGGGTTCCTCAAATGGGTGCAGGGATCCAACCACTTGAACCATCGTCTGCTGTCTCCCAGGGTGTACATTAGCAAGAAGCTGGATTGGAAGCTGAGGAGCTGAGATTTGAACCAGGTACTCTGATAATGAAATGCAGCCACCCAAGCAGCAACTTAACCACTGCACCAAATGCTTACCCCCACTGAGATTATTAAGGTCGAATAAGGTTATAGGGTGGGGCCCTGATCCAACAGGATTATTGTCCTCCTAGGAACAGGCATCAGAAAGTCCAAAAGTGCTAACCTCATCATTTCTTCCATCATTTCTATTCTGCCACCAGCCTGATCTTTCTAAAAGACAAACTGATCCTTACTCTCCCTGCAACACTTCACTGGGGTTTTCAATGGAATTTAGGGAATCAGAACGGGCATCAAATAAGTGCATAAAAGCCAAACCTAAGATCACGATGTGAGGAGTAATGACATTTGGTTCATTTTCACAGTAAGGTGTTTAGCTGTGAGTAGAAAATCACTGACAACTAGCCAGCGTAACAGCTTGCAGATGTATGGAAAGCTACAAGTAGCTAACCAGCCTAACAGCTAGGTTACAAACCACAAAGTACATGTACCTGGAAAGTCCCGAAGCAAACAGGGAGGTGAGCAAACAGAACATCAGGGGTGGTTAACGTAGCAAAACTAAAACAGATGGGGATAATAAAACCTAGGCAGCTCAGGGAAGACCCTGCAGTACTCAGCCAGTGAGGAATCGGGGGAGGACCTTGGTGCTAGGGAATAAATAGCTTGCCGTAACTGCTCTGGGTGTCCTGCAAGACACCAGCTTTTGCAAGACCATTAAGAAAGTCTCGTTTTTGCTGGATCTCGAGTCCAAGTCCATCCTATGAGTGGACAGATGAGAATATTTCCCACAACAGGCTCATCATGGAGTCTCAGTTGGCTTTGCCAGAGCTGTCTCTGACCACCCTCCACAACACATACCCTAGTCAACTACAACATATCCTGAGATGCTCTCTCCCCCCAGAAATGCATTCTCTCCAATTCATAGCCTGCCCATCCATCTGGATAGTTCCTCACCTCTCAAAACAAACCCTATCCGCTCCTCGTCATTGCTCTGGGGGGCTGCCCCTCCTCAATGGACACCACAGTGAGCAAGAGGGCTTTCACTGTGTGCTCCTTACTATTTTCCAATGAATGGGAAATGCCTGCCCTCCTCCCCAGGCTTGCTGTCTTAGACATGATACCTCCACACCCCCAGCTGGTTGTTACTCAGACCAAAACCCAGGAGTCACCTTTGATTGCTTTCTTTTTCCTCCACTGTTAACCATCAGTAGGCTATATCAACATTACCTTCGAAATATAATCTAACATAGGAATGGGCATATGGTCTAGCAGTTAGGATGCCCTTGTCCCCTATCAGAGTATCTGGGTTCAATTCCTGGCTCCAGCTCCTGACTCCAGCTTCCTGCTAATGCAGACCATGGGAGGCAGCAGGTGATGGCTCAAGTATGGAAACCCTGATACCCACATGGCAGACTAAGATTTAGTTCCCAGCTCCTGGCTCCAGCCTAGCCCACCTTGGGCTGTTGCATGAATCTGGGGAGGGGACAGGAGATGGGAACTCTCTCTTTGCCTCTCATATATCTTCTTTAATTTTAAAGATATATGCATTTCCAACACCACTTCTATCACAATTCCAGTTCAAACCACTATGTCTCTCATCTGAATTACTCAGTGCCTGTTACTGCCTTTGAAATCAATAGCTTGTTCTCTACAGAACAGCCAGAGCAATCTTCTGAAACAAGAGACGATGCTACTCCTCTATTTAAAACCTTCCAACAGCTGCCTCTCACACTAAGCAAAGATTGAAGTTCCCTGTCATGACCAGGGGCATCATGTCATCTGACACCTGTTACTCAAGGTATGGCAAGGACCAGGAAGGCATTGCAGGAACCTTGTGAGAAGGACATCATCTCGGGCTCCAGCCCAGATCCAAGGAATCAGATTCTGCATCTCAGTGAGAGCCCAATTGTCTAACATGCACACAGAAGTTGAGCAGCATTGCTACAACCCTCCCTCCTCCCTCCAGGACTCAGTCACTCCTCTTCAGCCACATCATCCCTTAGCTATTCCTTGAATGCACCAAGCATGTCCTACCTCGAAGCCCATCCACCTGCTGCTCCTTACCTTAAAATCCTAGTTCCCCAGGCTGTCATGTGCATATCACTGTCATCAGTCAGTCCTTTTCTCCCCTCCAAAGAGGATATCTATGGCTATTTTCCTACCACTAAGCCTTCCCTCCTTTCCCCAAGATCCTCTTCCCTATTCTGTTTCCGCATAGTATCTACAAGTCTCTGGGACAGTTCTTTATTTGTCTATGCACATACTGACTCTCTCCCACACTAGGATGTAAGTGCCCTGGGAATAGGACCTTGTCTTCTTCACTGTTACAATCCTGATGCTTTAAAAAGTGCTTGAGATGTTGCAGATGCTTAATAAATATTCTTTGAAAGAATTTATATGAAAATGAGTGCATCAGAGAATTGCTTCTCCTTGATCACTATTTGTCTCAGCACAGTTTTAAGTTAACAAAATAAAAATTAGGAAGTTAATTGCTTCTGTGCCTTATTGACTATGTGCTTTATCAAAAATTAGAAAATGTGCTGCAACAAATTTTGCCTATGTTTTTGTAATAATCTCTGCCAATGCAGTGGGTGCAGCCTTGGTCCCTGCAGAACTCAAAGGCTCCATCTCAGTGCCCCTTTGACTGACAATAGATCCAAACAGGCTCAAAATCTGGACAAGCATCCTTGGGTTGGGGCAGGGGAGTCACAGCAGAACACTGACCTTATAAGACTACACTCCTCAATAAAATTTCAATCTTCTCAATTCAGTATTACACTAATATGCATCTAGCATGGATACCAGCCTCTGGTCCCAGCTCAAGTTTCTCCATTTTTCCAGCCCATGAAGATTATTTATGATCTGAACAGCTGTGAAGTTGAAAATTCTAAAGATCCAGACCATACAGTGAAAATCTGTCCTCACAGCTGTCCTCCCCGGTGGCCACCAGTACTACCTATTTCTTACTCTAAAATAAGAATAGAAAGGACTAGAATGCATTTTTATTCTTTTTCTTACATAAATGGTAATAGATTATGAATGCTTTTCAGTATCTTGATTTTGTTTAACTTAGCAAATTAGCATGAAGGCCAATGACTATCAATACATAAATATTCCCATTTTTCCAGATGTCTATAGTTTTTCATTTCATATCATAGTCATTACCTGGTCCCATTTTGTTGGACAATTAGGTTATTTGAAAGCTTTTTCTGTTACAAACAAAGCTTCCACAAATAGCCCATGCATGAATCAATGCATTCATGTAGTATTTACTGACTTCAATCCATTGCACAGGCATGGGGTTTACATGTCACAGAATTTTCTTGTGGGCCTTCAAAATGAATTCTACATGTACATGAATACAGCCATTATAGAAAATATGAGCGTTCCTCAAAAACCTAAAACTAGAGCTGCCATAGGATCCAGCAGTCCCACTTCTGGGTACACATCTCAGGAAAATGAAATCCATCTGTCAAAGGAAAATCTGCACTCCCATGCTGACTGCAGTACTATTCACAATATCCAGAAAGGGAAACAACCTTAAGTGTCCATCAGCTGAGGAATGAATAAGGGAAATGTGGTGCATTTACACAATAGAGTAGTGTTCATCTCCGAAAAGGATGAAATCAGGGCCTTTGCACAGATAGAACTGGAGGTCATCAAGTGAGATAAGCCAAGTACAGAGAGACTAGCGATCTTATTCAAATACAGAAAACTACCACCCCCCCAAAAAAAAGGTGATCTCATAGAAGTTAAAAATATGGTGGCTACCAAGGGCTGGGAAAGGAGACCTTGCCCAACAGGTCCTGAGTTACAGCTAAATATGAGTAAGAAGTTCTGGGGTTTCACTACACAGTGAGATGGCTATTGATAATGTTAATGTACTGTATATTTCTCTATTTAAAAAAAAAAAACAAACTAGATAGAATCTTGGATGTTCTCAACATACAGAAATGTTTGAAGACATAAATATGTTTACCTTAATTGGACATTACACAACATATACATGTACTGAAACATCACAGAGCATCCCATAAATATGTACTTAATATCACTGCTAAACATTTTTTTAATTCACATGTGTACTGTGGTTTAGCAGGTAAAGCCACCGCCTGCAATGCTGGCTTCCCTTATGCGCACTTTTTCTAATCCCAGCTGCTCCACTTCAGATCCAGCTCCCTGCTAATGTGCCTGGGAAAGCAGCAGAAGATGGTTCAAGTACTTGGACCCTTGCACCCATGTGGGAGACCTGGAAGAAACTCCAGGCTCCTGGCTTTGGATCAGCGCAGCTCAGACCATTGCAGCCTTCCGGGATGTGAACCAGCGGATGGAAGACCTCTCGCTCTTTCTGTCTCTGCCTCTCTGTAACTCTGCCTTTCAAATAAATAAATAAATCTTTAAAAAAAAAATCTTATTGCCAATCAATTCCCTCCTCATGTGCTCATTTCCTGGCCATTCCATGATTTTTCTTCCCTGCCTGCATCTCTGTGCTAATTGTGTGTCTCTCCTAACTAGCAGTCTGTTTTGCACTTAAGAAACATGATAAGATTCATGATGTTCATGCTTGACTTCAAAACCAGGTGAAAACGCCACAGATGTGCTGGGGACGGACAAGGAAGGCCGTGGCTACACACAAGCAACATCCCCATCATGTGTCTGCTGAAGGAGGCAGAGATGGCACACTTCAGGTCTCCTGGCTGTGATGTGTGGGTAAGCCTGTGAGTCCTTGAATACTTGGTAGAGTCCTTAAACCCTGAGAGATTGTCTATGATTGGTTTATAGGCACATAAACCATGTATAACATTCTCCCAGTTCTTCTCCCAAAGATTATGTGTAGTACCTTATAAAGCAAAGACCAGACACAAGTCATAGTCAGCATGATGCTTTATGAGGAAGGGGAATCACTGAAACTATAAAAACATAAAATAATGCTAAGACCATTTAATGAAGACAAAATGACCTCCTGTCAGCAAAATTCTCCTGAGGACGCCACTTGCCCCACTACAGCACAAGTGGCTGAGGCACCACAGCCACCAAACTCTGCCTACTGCACTTTTTAAGAAGGGAGGACACAATGAAACAAAAGTGTTTTGTCCACTTTGAAATACAGGGAATACCTTGAGAAGGACTTTCATGGTATATTTTCTCATTTAATCACCAGTAGCATTGGTGCGGACAGTTTCATTCTCATGTTGCAGATGAGATTTAGACAATTTAAGTAACTTGCCCAGGCTTACCCAACTACTCAGAGCCAAGCCTAAACCATTCCCAAGTCCTTACATTTTACACTATAATACACAGTCTCCCTTCCAGGCACTCTGCTATGCCATGGATTAAACCGCTGTAAATTGACCCAGGAAACTAATCCCTAAACTCATTTTTGTGGGGAAATGGGTAACTTGCATTAAGAAACCCACACATGAACTTTTACTCATTCCCTGGGTTCATTGCTACCACTTACAGATCTTCCTACCAGCAGACATTGGGCCTAGTGGTTAAGATGCCCAGGCCCAGGCCCCACACCAGCGTACCTGGGTTCATTTCCTGGCTCCAGCTATGCTGATGCAGTACCTAAGAAACAGTGGTACTAGAGTTCCTGCCACCCACATAGGAGACCCGGGTTGCATCCCCAGCTCCCAGCTGGTACTGGCCATTGCAGGCATTTGGGGAGTGAATCAGCAGATGAGAGCGAGCTCTCTGTCTCTCCACCTCTCAAACAGCCAACCTAGCACAAAGCAGATAAAAGACTGCATAATTATTGGTGGTGTTTTAGCCATGTCCCCACGTCTTAACATTGTCCATTTTACTATCCATTTACTATCTTGTTATTCTCCATTTAGGGTCCTTATAATTTTCAACACTAGGTGGAATGCTCTTTTTTATGGAAAAATGCATCTTTGTCAATTATTCAGTGGATGAAAACATTTGCTTCCTTAAATCTGTGGGCAGCAATTTCTCTCCTAGAACGGTGCCAGACACACAGTAGGTGCTTCTACAACTGCAGGTGAACGAATGAATGAACACAGCGTGTGACTCACAAAAGGCAACTGAACTTCGGCAAACTGGTTTGCCTGAAGGATCAGAATCTGGAAGGAGACCGATTCACTGGAAACCAATTCCCTGAATAAGCAATTTCCCAATGTTAGAGCCAAACTGAAGCAAAGTGGTGACTCGATCATCTGACAAATTAACCATTTGGTAAACTGATGTTGGCAAACTAGTTATTAGGTAAACGAGTCTCTTCAAGAAAATCAGCCATTGTTTCTAGAGCACCTCCTGAGCCACAACACGGGTTTGCCTCTTAAAGCCAAGACCCAGCCTGTGTGCCTCGGCAACACTGTCCCCTGAGCGGGCCTCTGTCAGATCTTCCACCCAACCCTCTTCTCCCCCACTTACGTGACACTGCCCTTTTCCATAGCCTTCCACTCCTCCAGCTGCTGCCTCCTGCCATGACGGATCTCCCTTTCTCCTTGGCTCCTCCAACACTCCTGTCAGGTCTACAGCTCTGGGCACGTCCTCTCTGTTGTCACCCCTTCTCATTCCAGCTCTACCCTAATCCACCTTCCATATCATGGACTACTGCAGGCAAACCTTTATCAGAGAGAAAATAAATAAGTAAATGTATGCTGGGGCCAGCAGTGTGGCTTAGCGGGTAAAGCCGTCACCTGCAGTGCCGGCATCCCAAATAGGCACTGGTTTGAGACCCGGCTGCTTCACTTCCAATCCACGTCTCTGCTATGGCCTGGGAAAGCAGTGGAATATGGCCCAAGTCCTTGGGCCCCTGCACCCATGTGAGAGACCCAGAAGAAGCTCCTGGCTCCTGGCTTCGGATCAGCACAGCTTTGGCTGTTGAGGCCATCTGGAGAGTGAACCAGTGGATGGAAGACCTCCCTCTCTCTCTTTCTCTCTGCCTTTGCCTCTCTGTAACTCTTCCTTTCAAATAAATAAATAAATGATTTTTTTTAAAAATGTATGCTTCAATAGATAACTGATGCACTGTCCAGAGGATACCTTTCGAGGCCTTCTGATTCTAGCCTTCGTTGCTGGGCACTGTCTATGTATAGCACAATCCGTCTGGTCATTTATGTCTAGCCATGTTCATTATCTTTGAGTTATTTTGAAGCTATTCACAAATATTTATGTTCTTGGAATTCTCTTTGAACCAGTTTCAAATTTGCCAAGTTCCTTCACTGGATAAATTAAATTAAAAAAATGTTCATTTTCACTTCTGTAGGAGAATCATGACTTTACTTTTTTAAATTACTTTTTAACACACCCCTTTCCCTGTAAGCTACTTGCATCTTCACACTGTAGTCATAGAAATGGGAGTCAAGGTTAAAATCCATATGCTATACTGTGTGGCCTCAAATAGCCATACAGGCCAGGGTAGCTTGGTTCAACATGACCAATTATTCTCAATGCTTATGGTTCCTTCTTTGCCTTTACTTTGTATCATAATGAAAATATTTGCAAATAGTTGACACATGAGTTATTAACTGTATTACTGATATATAATTTATATGCTATAAAGTTCATCCATTGAAGTGTACAATTCAATGTTTTAAGCTTATTCACAAGTTGTACAGCCATCATCACAATTTCAGAACATTCTCATCACCTCAAAAAGACACCCTACTTACATTAGCAGTTTCTTCGATTATTCCTGACCCCCAAGCCGCTAGCAATCCCAAGTCCACTTTCTGTCTCTAAGAACTCCCCTATTCTGGATATTTCATGTGAATGGAATCATACAATATACAATACAATATATGGTCTTTGTAACTGCTTCATTCACTTAACATAGTGCTTTCAAGGTTAATAGATGCTGCAGCATGTTTCAGCACTTCACTTCTCTTTATAACTAAACTTCATTCCATTACACTGATGTATCACACACATTTTATTTATCCATCTGTCAACTGATGGACATCTGAGTTGTTCTACTTTTTGTCTACTATGAATAATGTGGATGTGAACACTCACATACAGTTTTCACATGGGTGTGTGTTATTTATTTTGGGTATATACCTAGCCTGGGTCAAATGGGAATTTTTTTAAGATATTTTATTTATTTATTTGAGAGGTAGAGTTACAGACAGTGAGAACAAGAGACATAGACATGATTTATTTAATGTTCTTGTGGCCATTATTTTAATTGTGACTATAATTTTTAAATGCCTTCTGAAAATTTGGGGAGCAGGGAAGGATGGCCATGTTCTTCGGTACTTGCATGTAACGGCCCATCCTAGTATCTTTCCTGCTTATCCTTGGCAATCCCTGAAGATACTGCTATTCCACACCACCGTTACTACAGAGGCTCCATGTTATCTAACTTGTGTAAGAGGGTGAGAGAGGGACTTGGTCTCATGCTCATTCCTGGCACCATTGTGTAGCCATGAAATTGACACACATGCCTGCTTTCTTTTTTATTTTTTTTTTTTTTTTTTTTTTTTGACAGGCAGAGTTAAACAGTGAGAGAGAGAGAGAGACAGAGAGAAAGGTCTTCATTCCGTTGGTTCACCCCCCAAATGGCCACCATGGCAGGTGCACTGCGCCGATCCGAAGCCAGGAGCCAGGTGCTTCCCCCTGGTCTCCCATGCGGGTGCAGGGCCCAAGTACTTGGGCTATCCTCCACTGCACTCCCGGGCCACAGCAGAGAGCTGGACTGGAAGAAGGGCAACCAGGACAGAATCCGGCGCCCCGACCGGGACTAGAACCCGGGGTGCTGGCACCACAGGCAGAGGATTAGCCAAGTGAGCCAAGGCACTGGCTAACGTCTGCTCTCTTGACACGGAATCCACTGTTGTATTTCATTCTCTTCAAGTGACTGTCGCGATTGCTTACCCCCCTTTGGAAAATACTGTTACTTATGCCACAGGACTGCTACACTTCATTATTAATAGAATATTAATTTTGTTAGTTGATGTGGACACGTGGTCAGCCAGGCAAGGAAGAAAATCTCAGTCCCTTGTAGCTAGGTACGGCCGCATGACCAGAGGGTGTGTGTACAACTCCTGATACACTCTCTTAAAGAAAAGGATATGCCCTTTCCCCTTTCATTGTCATCTTTCCTTCTCCCTCAAATGTAGACACGGGGCTAAGAGCCATTTTTAACATGCAGATGAGGGCACAAGCTAGGGAAGATGGAGCAGCAAGAGAGGAGTTTGGGTTGCTGCACTGTGAAGCTGCCACTGCGGCTCTAAACTAGTAGCTATGTCTAGTCTGCTACCTGAGCAGGTAAATTGCTTCCCTGTTCAAGTGATTGCTATTTTGAACCTGGACCTTCACTAATACAACCCATCACCATAATCCTCCCCTAGGCAATGGTCCACTCCCTACCACCACCGGGCCTTTCTATCCTGTATAGACATATTTATTGATCACACACCCCCTGTTGACAATATGGAGATGTCTCAGCTTCTCATTAGAACCTGCATTTCCCCTTCCAATCAGTGCAGAACCAGGATGCACCAGCCATAATCCACTCCACACCACTTCCTATATACTCCACCACTTCCTTAGCATATTTCTAAAAATAGCATTTCTCCCTTCATAGGTCTGTTTTTCTCTTTCCTTTCCCTCTTAAACACAAAATATCAACCTTGACAAATGCTATCCTCATTTCTCTCCATATACTCCCCATATTGAGCCCAGTTCTTCAAGACCCAATAGGAGCATATCTATGTGGACAGAGAGAGAAAGAAAGGGGGAGAGAGATCTTAAGGAATTAGCTCATAGGATTGTGAAGGCTGGCGAGGCCACAGTCTGCAGATAGGAAGGCAGGCTGGGGACTTGGGGAAGAGCTGATGCTGAAGATCAAGCCTGAAGCATTTGGCAGACTTCCCTGTTCTGGGGACAGCTCAACTTTTTCTCTGAAGGCCTTCAGCTGATTAGACAAGGTTCACGCATAAGAAGGAGGGTGATCTGCTTTACTTGAAGTCTACTGATCTAAATGTTTATCTCATCTAAAAAAAAATGCTTCATAGAAACATCCAGAATATTTGACCATATAACTGGGTCCAATGGCCTAGCCATTTGACATATAAGGTTGACCATCATACACTTCCCCCATTAATTCCACGAATCTCACTTCTATTTCTTCAATGCTACAGAAATTATGCCCCATCCCAGAATCAAGTTGTAGACTGTAAAACCCTTCATGTACCTGAAGTTTTAAACATTTGATATATATCCTTTTTCTCTGGCAATAGTCTATCAGATTCTCAAAGAACTATCATAGTAATCATTAAACCCACTGATTTTTCCCATCATCCTCCCCTGTGACCTATCTGTGACTCCTTGCCCTCCTTGTAGTGTTAAAGAAGCCAATAAGTTCCACTTAGCTGTTCAAAATGCTTCAATTTGTTTCTGTCCCGGGCAGCCAATGGAGTCCTGACCAGCCCTCCAAGGTTCTCAGTCTGCTAGTCCTCTGGCCTTAAATTTCCTCTTGGAGATTCTTCCCTACTCTCATATCTTGGATCCTATTTCTGGGATAGTAGTTTAGAAAGATCTTTGGTGCTGGAGCTTTTAGAACTCAGGTTAAGCCTCAGATCTACTCATCTGCACCTAAGCAAGTTAACTTACCCTCTCTGAACTCCCTGCTTCCTCTTCTATAAATGGAGGTAACACAACCTACTTCATATTGTGTGATGGAATGAGAAGGTGAGAAGGTCATGCCAAGATGGCTGCTGATCACAGAAACTGCCTGGCAACAGGCCATGATTGGATGGCTTCAGAAACCACATGACAACAGAGCCTGACTGACAACAGGCTATGATTGGATGGTTTCAGAAACTGCCTGGCAACAGGCTGTGATTGGTTAGGGCATAGACCTCCCCTTGACTGGATTGGCTGCCTTGGCTATATAAGCATCTGTAGCAACTGAAATAAATGAGTCTGTGGGCTGCTTGCCTCAGGCCTGCTTTCACCCGACTCCTGGGGTCTGTGTGGTGACTCCGCGCCTCTTGCCCACACCATGCTCCTCCTCTCAGAAATGAATCCACAGCAACAATAGAGTAAATTAGATTTCAGTGAATCTGGAACAATAAATGGTGGTTGTCTCGCCACCTCCCTTTTCTAAGCAGATAATTTCCAGGACCAAGCCTTTAGCACTTGCCTCCCTACCCACACTCAAGCTCAGCCTTTTTCTCTCTGCCAGTTCTTTCCACTCAGACATCCTACCATTGTATGTTCAATCTGCCTAAAGGTGAGGCTATGTTCCCCTCGAAATCACTACTTCCTCATCATCTTACAGTTTCCCTGCATGGTATCGCTGTTCTCCATAGTGAATCTTTGACTCCTCTCTCTCCTCAGTTACTTTACTGACCCAGGCACTGCAACCTCTCACCTGTCCATTGAAATGTGTCCCCTTTTAATTCACATGATACCATATGATTTACATCCTAATCACCTCCAACTGCACTGGTGTCTTTTGAATCCTTTTCTTAACTCTACAAAGTCCCCACTACACTCTCTACTCAAGGCCAGGTTTGGGATGAAAAAACACTTTGTTGAACCATATCCTATACTGCAGTGCCTAGGTTCAAGTCCCAGCTCCAGCTCCTGACTCCAGCTTCCTGCTAATGTGTATT